GGCTAAACCTTTCAAGGCAGGCGCTCAGCACTCATTCTGACCTTGTTTAACAGCTAGCTGTTTTTTCAGCACATAATAGGTTTGCTCGTGGCCTGTTTTAGCTGACATTGCCACGGCAGAGCAAACGTTTGCATGTAATAGCAGCCCTTTTTAAACCTCGCACCACTTATTCAGCAGAAGCAGAGAGGTCAGATTGTGGAAGTAGCGATCGCTTTCTTAGAAACCCTACTGAAATGGAAACAGAGCTATTCCTCTTCCCTTCACAAGTGGCTCTGGAATTCCCAAAGTGAAAAATTCAGCAGCAAGATGAAAACACTGATAGCTTGTGTTGCACAAAGCAACGTGCTGGCGTCCGACCAACGCTGCTGCAAATTCTTTCTTCATTTTGGCACCAAGCTATTCCACTTACGAAGGGCAGATGAAAATTGTTCTCGATTTATGTTGGCTCTGATTGTAGTTGTGCTTTTCTGATAAAGCCTTCTCTCTGATGCCAGCAAAGCTTTGGAGGACATGTAAACGCATCATCATCGCATCATTCCTTCAAGAAAGAACTAAATTCAAGAGGTCCCCAAATAACTGTAATAATTCTTCTGGATGCATAGATCCTTTCCACAGTGTAAGTGAGGAGCCTAGGCTGAATCCCAGGAATTGGTTCCTATTTAAGGATATAGCTTACTTCATCTCAACCATGGGAGCGTAATTTTTCACCTTGAACTTGACAGGGGCTGGGAGGTGCCAGGGACCCTCTGCATCTCTGGCCCGGGGCTGAGGAGCTCCAGCTTCTGCTCCAGAGAGTGGACTGGGTAGTACACGAGCTGCCTGGGTCCCTGCGAGCTAAAAGCTGCTGCCGCTGTCTTGTCTGGCCAAGGCCTGCCACGGCTGGGCTCCCAGTGACTCCAGTGTGCTGCATCCCCGTCCCCTGGGGAAAGGAGGCAGGTAGCTCATTGCAAGCAAATGCCAGGAAAATGAGGAGAGGATATTTGATTCTCAGAGATAAAAGCCTCATGCTGAAAGGTGTGTCAAACCCCCTGCTTTGCCTATGCCACGGAGCGGGGTGAGTCCTGCGTGTTGGCAATGACAAACCTGCGAGTGTCCATTTGCAGGCGAGCTGCGGGTGTCTCAGAAACTCGGCGCGTTGTAGGATAAGCAAAAATGTTTTGGAGTACAACATTTTGCAAGTAAAGGCGTATCAGTGAAGATTTCAGAATGGGAATCAGCCATTGAGTGGAGACAGTGATGGGACTGGATGTGTCAAATGGGAGAAGAGGTGCAGAAGATGGTCTTTCAGCCCTACCCACGCAGGTAGCTATGTCAGTAGCCGATGCCACTTTCCTCCTGGAGAGCGGAGGGGAAAAAAAATGGAGCCCAGGGAGGCAAGGTGCAAGTGCATTGTGTGTGTGGATGCAGTTTGATGGTACAATGAAGTTGATGTTAACAGCGAGCACCCAGAGAAGAGCTGGTCCCGTCCTCTCCCACTCTCCTACCCCTTTCCTGGTGCTGGCCTGCCTGTGCCCGGGCAAGGCTGAGCGCTGGGGTACCACGCTGTCAGTGCTCCCCATTTCCCAGTGTGGAATGAGGTGTTTTCACTAGTTTTGCTCCCTTTGGTGGCAAGCAAGGAGCAGCCCTGGCACGGGGCAGCGGGTAAGCCCACTGGGAGGTACCGGCAATCTCCCCATTGGCCAAGCTGCACCATCCATGGCCCTGCGCCGCTGCCACCCTGCTGTGGCACCCGCACTGGTTTCAAGGGGGGTTGGGTGCTTAAATGTCTGAACCGGCAAGGCCTGATTCACCTGCGCTGCTGACTCAGGCTGTGCCTATTTAAAGGCTGCCGTCCAGTGGCATGTCAGTGGCATGGGCAGGGCATTTGCTCTTGTTCCTGCAGCTCACAGCGAGATACCACCATCGGTTTCAGAGCACATGAATATTTGGGGCAATGAACGGCAGCAGCCAAGGGCTGTGAGCTTGTCCGAGCTTGCAGTTCCTCTGGCCCTTTCTGCCCCTCACCTTCCTGCATGTTTCCTACAGCTCATGTGTTACCCCCACAAAAAAACCCGACTGTTTTCAGCTGGACAGGGGGGCTGGCTGGCTGCAACGCCCCCCCCCCCCCCCCCCCCCCTTGAGCCTGGGGAAGGCAGTGAGGGCAGCTATGCATGAGGTGGAGAGGAGAGGCCCACCCTTCCCAAGGGCAGTGCGGATTTGGGCAGCTATCTGGCATTATTTCCCCTCAGCCCTGTTTTCATGGCTGCCCAGCTATGATAGCCAGTGTTTTCTGACACAGCCTCGGCCCTGCTCTCCTCTCCCATCATGAGCAGCACTGACAGGGCACCTCTCCATCTCCAGTCTCACAGCGTCAGCCAGACGATAAGCCTGATGCGATTGCGTATCTGCAGGGAAACAGGTTATCAGGCAGTTTCTCGGCTAGGACAAAACCAAAGCCAGCAGAGCCACAGCCACTCACGCCATGCCAAAGCCAGCGTTCATATCTCCAAACAGAGGGACCATCAGCTTTTCCACAAAGCACAGCTGCAGTTTTCTCTTTCCTCTCACTGGCTGCCCAGGTTGTGCTGAAACTATGGACCCCTTTAGACTCATGAAAATTAAAATGCTAAAGAAATGGTGACAGGTACTAGGTAATCCTGCCCTGGTCTCGGGGCTGAGCTCCCACCTCCCCACAGCTGTGTGGGTACTAGCTAGTGTCCCCAGCTGCTCCCCATCCCATCCCCTCGGCTTGCTCACATGCGGGTGATTTCCACCCAATTTCCATCAGAAGGAGCCAAGTGTATTTAAGCTGCAGGGCTGGCAGCCTTGGGAGGAGGAGTGAGGTGTAGTTTTTCAGTTTGGTGGTCTCTTCCCTTCTCTGCTTTAGTGCCCTGCTCCTCTTGGAGGCAAAGGAGCAGGTCCTGTTTGGCTTAGACCTTCTGAAGCCTTTCTTATTTGTGGTGTAGGGCTGAGAGTGCTTTAGGGGGTGATCCTTCTGTCCTGATGCATCTGTGGGGTGTGCATTAACCCTGTGCAGCACTTGGATTGCAGTGGCAGAGGTGTGGATTCTTTTGGGGACTATACATCTGAGATACCTGCTGGGCTGTTTTCCACAGCTGAAGCTTGCTAGTTGAGAAAGTGTTTTTCTCCATTAAACAATTTTCCTGTGTTTCTATTTCATATTTGGGGGGGTGTGTCTCTTCTTGATTGTCACAAAATTGGACTTGTCTGAGATCTTAGTAATCTGTTACCTCTAGCTACTTTCAGTAGAGACCAAATCATTTTTGAACCTCAACAGGTTCAAGACTTAATTTTCTTTATGTGATACAATTTGTACCTCATCTCTACTTCCTGCTTATTCCTGATGTAAACCCTTCCTTTACACAGGCTGATACGCACTTGTTCAGCCTTGCAAGAGCTCCCTCTATGATATTTCATTCTCTGGTCCCAGTATGTTGTTTCTGAAGAATCTTTTGCTTTCAGAATAGATTAAGGTACTGACAGGCTGAACAGACTTAGTTCTAGATAAATTTTTGGATTAATATCAACATACTGTGAAAACCTTGATGTACTACAAGGAAGTATCTCTTGAGTAGGAAAAAAATGCTTTTTCTTGACAAATGATTGTTGCTATTTTTTTGTTGATCACTTTAACTATCACCATGCCCATGGGAACTCAGTGTCAGCGAAATCCGTAGTGCTTGTATTGATCCTAAACCCTGCCAGTAAGGACTCTTACATCTTAGTGAAAACATCCTGATCTGTTATTTTGCCTTAAGGCTAAATGGTTGGCTGTCTTTAAACTGACAGATAGGTCTGCTCTGTGCAAAACAAGTATGATTTTTAACTTGGGCATAAGCTGTCCCCAGGTTTACATTGTTGTGATAGATCATTTTGCAAAGAGCATTTGAATAAGCTTCAGGTAGGGGGGTGGTTGTTCAGATGTTTCGTTAATGAACTTTTAACTCTTATAAAGGCAATTAAAATAGCCAGTGGCTGTATTGCTGTTGGAGGTACCTGGGCAGTGCTGAGCCCCTGCACCTTTCTCAGGCTGCTATCAGCACTGGGGCAGCTGCAGCCTTAGTTTTGGCTGCTCCCCGGCAGCTGCCCAGGCCTTGCTGGTTTGGGCATGACTTTATCCAACACTGTTTTTATGGAGTTTAGTAAGTGGGAATCTCCTAATGTCTTATTTCAGCTCAAGGTGGATTTCTTCTGGCCCTCAGAGTAAGTGCGTTGGTGACAGCTGTAATCAACACAGAGGCTGTTGATGAACAAAAGCAGCTGCTGGAAAAAAAAGGGAAAATATGTTCTTTTGTTCCTAGAAACTTGCATATAGCTTTATAAAGTGATGATGCATCTTAGTCCTGCCGGGGCTTCATTGAAGCATGAATGGGACCCATATCTTCAGTCACAAGGGTCTAAAAGACATCAGTGCTTACCAGGTTTGGTTTGGGTTGGTGGTCACTTGAAGCAGTGTCCATGCAAACAGATGTCCTCTGTAAGGTTTGGAAGTTTCCTGTTTAACTTTTTAGGACTACAACTCCCACAAGGTTTGTTCTGGGCTTTCAAAAGTGGCAGCTCATTAACAGCTTTTTATTAGCACTGAAAACCATTGGAGGGAAGCTGCCCGGGTCATCTGGAGCCCTTGGTTTTGCTGGGCAAAAGGTGCTTGTTGCCAGATATTAGCTCATGTACACAGGGTGCAGTCCTAGGTGTTTTCATTTCACAAAGAAAAACGTGTCATAATCTCTTCATAGATGAAGTGAAGTATCAGATCATTTCAATTACACTGTGCTGGCAGGCTGAGAGCAAGATGAGGGGAGAAATCTTGTTCCTCTTGACTTCCAAAGGGACCACCCTCAGCCTTTTTTCCTATCACAAATGCAACCTGATAGAGAGCACTTCAAATCAAAGTCCCAATTTGGCCAGCTTATCAAAACAACTATAAAACCTAAAAGAAAATAAGCATGTGTGGGCTGATTGATATATTATGTGGTTGGCACTGTTTGTGCCATTTGCAGGCATGGCGGAAGCGCTGGTTCGTGCTGCGCAGAGGCCGTATGAGCGGGAACCCGGACGTGCTGGAGTACTACAGGAACAACCACTCCAAAAAGCCCATTCGGATCATCGACCTCAACGAATGCGAAGTGCTGAAGCACTCGGGGCCCAACTTCATCAAGAAAGAATTTCAGAACAACTTTGTCTTCATTGTGAGAACCACCTACCGCACCTTCTACCTGGTAGCCAAAACCGAGGAGGAGATGCAGATCTGGGTGCACAACATTAGCCAGATCTGTAACTTTGGACATCTAGAAGATGGCACAGGTAGGATCCTGCTTATGCTCATCTTGGGGATTGGGTCTGCGTCTGGGGTCCTCCACAGCAACACCCGGGGTGAGAGGGAGCATGGACCTTGCTGGCTGGTCTGGGCAGGTGGTATGGGAATTTGTTTCTGAAACACTGTTAGACCCTGATTTGAAAGTTATCAGGGTAGAAATAATAGCTGGCTGCTTGGTCTCACTTCGATGAAGCGATTCCTGCTAGAATAAACAGCAAATCCTTAATAAGAAAAGGTACTGTTTATGTGAAAAGCTGACTGACTGTTATCTTTTGGGGCCGTTTATTTCATTACATGTCCCATATTTATTTAGTTTGGCTTAATGTAAGACACCTGTTCCAGGAAAGTGTCCTGCAAAACTCGCATTTTCTCAGGCTTTGCTGGATATGGAATGTGCACAGACTTGGGTGTATATGCACATACATAAATCAATGACAAAAATACTGAGCTGTCTTAGTCTATTAATGAGAAGAAAAATAAAGAAAAGGCAGAGGATAGGAGAGTGTTAGAAGTGTGTGTCTAGACTTAAGAGATGGTCCTGCCAGTGAAGCATAAAGTCAGCCTGTTTTGCCAGGACCTACACCTGCATATACTCAGTAGGGTGAATTTCTTGGAAAGCTTCCAAGAAGTAACCACTCCAGGATGGATGTAGCCAGTAATTAAAGTCGGGACCTGTATCATCATTAACTTACCTTTCAAATGAGACAATCGGGATCAGATAACAGCAATCTGTCTTTCCCTTGACATTTCCAAGGGGCAGATACAGCAGCAATTTGAGAGCTTCATAGGAAGTGAGTCAGAACGAAGTCCTTTGCTGTGATAAAAGGCAGTGCAAGAGCAGAAAAGGGTGGTGATGGAGGGACTGGACCCCAAGGACAGTTACATGTTTGGGGGTATCATCATGTGGCAAGGCAGATTATCCTGCTGTGGTCCCTGTGCTGCTGCACTCAGACTGCTACTGGTGTCTGCAACTGCCCCATAGCCACACCGTTACCTTGTACCTTGAAACAAAAGGCTATGGTGAGGTGTCTTATTTTAATCTATTGTGGTTCCTCGCCTTCTTTAATCTTCTCTTCAGTAGTTTCTTCTGAGGGGAAATAGGAGTGGAAGGAGTACTGCAGTGGTCCTGTTAGAAATGTGATGTCTGCCCTCTTTCCATTCATTTTAGAGACCACCAGGAAAATGTGCTGGCATGTTTTTATGTGCCAGTACAAACTTCCCATGAATGCAACTCGCGAACTAGAGCTGGTAGCTTTGAGGGATTGGAGACAATAGCCCTTTGGAGCTAGGATGTAATTAGGGATATTTAGTAACCCCCCACCTACTGATCTGCCCTTGTTGACACTGAGATGTTGCTCTTGCACTGCTACTTCTGGTGCAGTATTATTTTAGATAGAATTTTACCAATTACTCTGAAATGAGGGTAAGTCTTTCCATGCAAAACAGAAAAGAGAAAAATATTTTTTGTCTCAAATGTGTATGCAGACTTCTGCTGACACTGTGCTGAGTATGTGCACAGGGAGATGTGATCCATGGCAGAGGAGCTAATGCAGCGGCTGTCCCCAGGATAAATGCATTTATACTGGGAAATGTCTGTTCTGTTATGCTGGTACAGCGCTGCATTGCTTGTAAGACTTACACATGGGCAATGCTCAGAGTATTACACAGTGGTATTTCTCTCCCAGCAAAGATTGCCAGTGTAGACACTGATGGACGAGAACTGACAGCTCTTGGTGCGGCAGTTGGGAAAGCTGACATCCCAGCTTTCCGCTCCATTCAAAGTGGATATTATCCCCCAAGAAATTCAACAGTGCAGAGCATTTGCCTTGGTTCAGTATGAAGTCTGGCACCTGAACTTACAGCTCTCATCACAGACAGTGTAAGCTAAGCTTCCAGACATGCACTTATTGTATCTCTAATGGCAAATAGCTCCTAAGATCTTCCATTTATCCTGCAGTTCATGCTGGTCAGGTCTAGACTGCATTCAGGTCAGGCTGCAGGGCACATTCAGATCCTCTGATTTAAATCTGCATGGTTTCACAGGTTGCACATCACATTTCAAACAGTTGCTAATTGCTTCAGCTTTTTGGAAGCACGTAAATCCCCCAAGAGCCTGTAGGTTTAAACAAATTACCCTTAAAAATTAACATAAGAAGAGAAAAGCTCTATTAAATGCCATATGCTTTTTTAACTTGAATGCTACTCTTAAAAAAAAAAAAATAGTCCCTGAAATGAATCATCAAAAGAAAGACACATCAATTGCAGGAAACTTTAATAAGCTGCTCTGTGTATTAAAATGAATCTCAAAACCAATATTATATTGTGAAATCAATCATTCTTAATCCTTGCATGTCTGAAAATTTGCTGTGACTTTGAGGCCAAAACCAAATCTGCTTCTCTCTGCTTAATGCACAGAAAGTACAGCCACAGATTTACACGGTGACTCAGCTGTAAACACTGTCCCATTGTTCCCAGTTAGTCCCTTCCAGTAGCAAAGATGTTGGATGAACAGCCAGGTCCTAGTCGCCAGCGGCCTCTGGTCTGACATGTAATCAGCCAGACACAGGCCGAAGTTAGCAAAACCACGTGTGACCCTGCGAGGACAGTTTTTTAGTCAACAAGAGGGGATGGCTGAGAGATGGAGGCGAAGTGCAAGCTCCAGACAGATGTCAGGAAGCACCTGGGAGGATGGCTGTTGGGAAGGACTTGCCAACAGCAACCATTGTGCTGTGACACTCGACTGCCACAAGAAACTGTGCTGCTGGCTGTGCTGAAAATGATGGGGGAGCTGGTACCTTCAAGGGAGTCAGCTGGAGGAGAGAACAGGCCTCCCTCCCTATTTTCCTACCATTCCTATGTAAAATCTTCCTTCCACCTCTGGTGAAGTCTCCCAGTGGAGCAGACATTCCCCAATCCCATGGGACATGTGGCCACACAGGGGACTGAGAGGAAGCATGGGCCCAAGTGGCTGGGCAGGGGAGAGGATGAAATGAGGTGGCTATGTGACATCATGGGCACGTTTCATCCATGTGTAAGCTGAAACTATGATTAATTGACACAATGCAATATAGCAGCTTTTCATTGGAGGAACTGCTGTGAAAGTTGTTTAGCCTTTTTCATTAGGAAGCCTTACTTTTAAAGACTGTAGCTGTGCACTGAATGCTCCCCCAGGCCGTGCCTTGGCAGGCAGCTCCTCAGCCCAAGAAGCACCTTTCATCTTTGGTTCCCTCTTCGCTTCTTCCACAGGCTCCAGGTATTGTTCAACATCCCATGTGAACGCCTTGCTCCTTCCGGATGCAGCCCTTATTCGAAGGTCCCTGCTGATCTCCATTTGCTCCCCTGTTGCTCTACTGTCCCCCACAGCAGCCAGGGCCACAGTGGAGCCTGATGTCCCCGAGGAGGCACCCTTGCTGGTGCCCTCCCTGCACAGTGCATGGACCAGGACATTGGCAGGGTCACCCTATGTGACAGGTGACCCTCGGGTCCCTCTTGGTTGTCAGCAAGATTGGATTAGAGCATTTCTGCTCCTCTACCTCTCCCTTGCCTCTGGTTACTCTTTTCACACCCATGCTCACCCCATGCCTGGGACCTTCTCCCTTTCTGTCTGCTCTTCTGATGGTTTCTTTGCCTCCTTAAATGTTTCTCTTTTTTTTTCTTTTGCCAATGTGCACAGACCCTGCCATGGCATGGGAATGGTTTGATTCTCCAGGACCTTGCGGCCACCACCCTGGGGAGCATCTCCCCCAGCCAGGGCAGTGTGCTGGGGCAAGGAAAACCAGAAGCATTGAACGGAGGGGCTACCAGGAGGGACTGTGCTCTCCTTGCAGAGATGCTTTCTCCTGAGCATCTTTGTTTTCCCTCTCTGTTCCCACATAAAGTGGGGCAGGCAGCATCCCGGCAGGCTTGCTCACGGCAGCACCTGGCCCTTGCACAGGTCAGGGCAGGGGTGAGGGCTTCTCTCAGCTTATGCTGGAGGACAGGCACTGGGGCTACTCTCTCCATGCTCCCTTCTCAGTGGGACGAAATCCCTTCTTGGCTGCATGTACTCAAAGCTGCTCTGTCAGGCTCTGGTCCCTGGCCAGGAAGGGTGGGTGGCATTTCTACCTCCTTGGTATGGCCACACAGCCTGGTGGGGGGTTGCTGTGAGCAGGATCCCATTATTCCACTGTGTCCCTGCACTGCTGTGGCAGCATAACAATTCTTGGGGATTTTTTGGGGAATTCTGTAGCAGGAGGGAGAAGCCCTCTGTTTCTCCAAGCAATGACCCTGCATTGGTGGGAAAAGTCACAGCAGAGGATGCTCCACATTTTCCTTGGTCACTTTCCCCATCAATGCAGGGCAGAGACTTTTTGGGTTAGTACTGACTGAAGCAGTTATTTTGGCAGCCGAAGCTGCCCACTGTCTCTCTGGCAAAGGGGAGGGCAGGCACCAAACCTATTCCCTGCCTTCTTGCTGTTGAAAATGGCCATGCATAATTTATTCTACCCAGCTGCTGCCGCAGTACAACTTTAATGCATGCTGATTCGGTTACCAGCAGAGCTGGCAGGGCCAGGGCCAGTCTGTTAGGAGCTGGCTACAGGTCCCTGAGCCCCTGAAGGTTAGAAAAGGGCAGGTCTGCACTGTCCCCATCCCTCCCTCCTGCTTGCAACGGTTGCCATGTGGTCTGCAGCTTGCAGCCTTTCCTGATGGGATAATCCATGGCTAAACCCTGTGAGTACCAGATGGAGTTCAGGCCTGTTCGTTCTCTGTGTTAATAATCCAGAATGTCATTCCTTTTTCTTATGCATTGTGGTGGGTTTTAGTTGTTGGGGTTTTAAGAAAAAAAAAGTGGTCAGATGGTGATGTGAACATGCTTTTCTGAGATCCCTATGGAGTTAGCCCCGTGCATATTTGATCATCCTCAGCTTGCAAGACAGCTCTCAGAGTCCAAGGTTTGAAAGCAGAGTTACCATCTGAGCCAGCACAATGAACAAGAGAAAAGGTATTTTTCAGATGGGAAGGCCGCAGCCCTCAGCTCTGCTTTGCAAATGTGAAACCCCGTAAAAGCCATTCCTTCCAGATGCTCACTGCTGAAATCCTGCTGCTATAAGCACCTGCTCAAAATTAAGCAAATGCTTTGCTTAAGCTGGAATTTAAGCACATGCTTATGTGCTTTGCTGACCTGGGGTCCACCACTGTACCAGACCTCCAAAGCTAACAGGAGGAAGCAACTAGAAGTCAGAAGCAACTAGAAGTCAGTACTAGTAGAGGTGGCTCCTTCCCCAGTTTAAAGGGATGAGGTGTGGGGTAGTGCAGGGAGAAAAGATCAGCTGTTTTAATCTTCTGACTGAGATCAGAAAGATGACGGGGTGAAGCCCGCTGCAGCTGGTGTGGAAGTCTGGGTCACTGGAGGGGTTTGTGTTTAGCAATGTCGCTGTCTAACCACCCAAGTCTTGGCAGCTCTCTCTGTCCCTCCTGACCTGCTTGCACATATACCTAGCACCTCCCAGGGTTGAGAAGTGACTACAACAACCCAGTACAGCGCCAAGGCTTGTTGCTGTGTTGAGCTGAGGACTAGCTAGAACCTGCTAGAGGATCTCAGGACCTCACTGCATAGTGCAGGATCTGGCCTGCAGCATTTCCAGCAAATTCTGGATATCAGTGTTAAAGTCTGCCACCTTACTACACTTTGAAGGCGTGTTTATGCTTGGTTTGGTTTTATCAGCAGTAGCTGGTTTCTTGTGTGTGTTTTTGCTGTGGAGTTTTTCATTTTGAAGAAGGATTTTGCAGCTTTGACTCAGGCAGTGTCCGAGCTTCAGCCAGAGAGATGGGTACCCACTGCTGAGCCCTGCAGATGTCGGGGACAGCTGGGGTGCCCAGTGAGCACTGCCTGGTCCCCATGCAGCCCTGGTGAGGAAACTGCCACGCAGCAAACTGAATCTTCATTAGAAAAATCATATTCTCCAATTGAGGGCTTGTGCTCCTGGTGCCGCTGTCTGAGCTTGCTGCCAGGAGTAGATGCCTTTGGGGAGCTGCTCTGCAAAGACACCCCAGGCCATTCCCACTCCACTGCTACCCATGGTGAGAAATCCAGCTTGCACTGGGGACTCTATCTTTGAGTCAAAATGCCTGAAAAGCTGGGCCAGAGACTGTGCTTAGCCTTACCTCTGTGTGGCTCAGCCATCACTCCATCTCTCCTGCGCAGTGTCTCCAGCTCTCTAGCAGGGACAGCGGCTGGGAGAGCAGCAGAACCAGACTTGTCTCTGCTGCCTGGCAATGCTCGGGCCGGATTTGTACGAATGCCTTGGCCAAGTGCTGCCAGTGAAGGGTGGCCTTGGTGGCTGGAGGTGAACCCGGAGCTGAGGAGGTGGCCAGCTCTGTGCAGCCTGGGCGAGCCCTACTGCCTGCAGCCCAAACCTGTTCCTCTCCCCACCACCCCCCCTCTCTGTGTCAGGGGGATGGGAGTGTTATGCCCAGGGAAGGTGTCTCTGAGCACAGGATTCCCCTGTGTCTTGTATCCTCCAGAAAAGTAGTGTTGCTTTCCTCAGCAGAGCCAACAAGCCTCCAGATGGGCAGTAACAGCTACACCACAGCTCTCATGGCTTCGATGTCCAGCCTAGAGAGGCCTAAGGAGTTTGCAGACAAGTTCAGATGTGCAACAAATCCGGCTACTCCATGAGCCGCAAAGTTCAATTTTGTCCAATGAGCTCTAGAAGGTGGGAAGAAATCAATCCCTTTCCTTGTCACCATTAATTCGAAGTGTTGGAGGTTAATAATTATTTGTGCTAGGTCCTAAAAAATATTTGATAAAACAAACTGCTCTGCCTCAGCACTCTCCTCAGCAGAGGGTGTCTGCAGGAGGGATGCTACAGCCCTGCAGGAGTGGGGGACCCCAGAGCAAGGGAGGTCTGTGCCTCCTGCAGCCCCTTGATTTGGCAGCTGGCTTGCCCAGCCTGGGCAAGGGTAGCAGCTGCAAAATCAGGCTTCCCTGTCCCCAGAATCAGTTTTTGCCTTGACCCGCTGCTGCTCTGGCATAAAGCATCCCTGGTGCAAAAAGTGGTGATGGCCAGGAGCGCGGTGGACCAGGCTGAGTCAGAGCTGTCCCTCAGCTGGGGCCATCCATTCCCATTGCAGGTTCGGTGGAGAGCCTTTCTCACACGACCTCGTCCCCGCAGCCATCACCAGCCGCCTCCACCCACGCCTCCCGCATCGCCGATCCCTCCTTCTCGGTCGACCACACTGCTGCTGACGCGTCTGCCGCAGAGGAGACCCCCAGCGAGTCGGAGTCAGTCTTCCTCCCTGATTACCTCTTCCTCTCCAACTGCGAGTCGGGCAAGCTCAGCCATAACAGGTAGGTCTGGGGTCTGCCAGATGCATCAGGCTGGAGCCACACTCTGCCTGCCCAGTGGTGCCCTGGGAAACTGGGGCAAACTGGTCCTTGAGCCCTGCAACTCAGGGTAGGCTCCCAAGCACAACGGGGGACCATCAGCCTAATCCAATTTACACGAGGCTTTTCATTGCACAGATTAGTGGTCAAGCATCATGTTGGTCCTGTCCCTTTCCAGGGAGGGTGGCTGGGGATCTCACATACGGCATCTGTCCAGGCACCCTTTCTGCCTACTGCTGCCCAAGGTGCTCCACAAAGTGCCCCTGTCCAGCTCTAAGGGGACCTTCCACAGCCACAGGGAAGGGATAGATGTTTGTCCCAACCGTGGGGTGGTTTGGGTTTTTTTTACTCTGCTCTTGCTCAGTTGCAACCAGATGAAAAAGAAAGCACAGGTCTTAACCTCTGTCTCTGTGCAGGTGTGACAGCTGGTCAAATTCGGACAGATCTCTGGAGCAAACCTCATCAGATGATGTTTTTGTCGACTCCTTGCAGTCCCAGCCCTCCTTGTACCTTGTGCAGCTGTCCAGTGCTGGCACTGTGCACCAGGACGGGGCTCCATTGGCAAATCCCAGCACCGTGTCCAGGAACATAGACATTAGTGGGTCACCCAGTGACTTTTCCTCCTCTTCTCCACTGCTGGGGACGCCACTGACACCAACCTTTCAGATTGACAAGAGCCAAAACGCGCTGCCCTATGGTGTAACCCAGCTGGACATCCTGTCCAACACGCCCCCGCCGCGGCCACCCAAGCCAACCCACTTCTCAGACAGGAGAGGGGATGAAGTGGGCAGTGGCACCCTCCAGAACGGGCATGCAGGGATCAGCCGGGCTCAGGTTGCTCTGGTGCCCAGGAGGATCTCCTTGTCCAGCTTAGACAATGTGAGGAACTGGAAAGGTGAGTGCATTTCAGAGAGCCAGTGAAGCAGGACCGGTGTGAGGGATAGAACTGTGCACAAGCAGAGCGGGTGCTCACCTCCAGCTGTGCCTCTCTGTCCTCCCCCCCTGCGAAATCTTCACCATCCAAAGCAACCTGAAATGCTTGTTTCAAATTAATTATGAGCAGGATTCAGACTTGTCCCTCACATTCAGCTCCTGCTCTGTAAAAGGCCCTCAGTGTGTACACGTGGGCAGCAATTTGGCTGTGATCTCTTCAGGGTGCCTCATGACTTGCAAGTTTTCTATGCCCCCTCCCTCTCAAAAAAAGAAAGCAGTAGAAAAACAAAAATTAAAAGCTAGCTCACTGAATCAGGCAATGCCAAACTCTCTATTTATGCAGGTGAGGATGTGGGCTTGCACATAGGAATTGTCTTTGTAGCTGTGCTGCTTCGCTAGAGCCAGACCTTTCCATAGCAGCAGCACGTCTTTTCGCAGCTTAAAGAACGGGAAGCCAGGGAGACGCTGGGGATGGGATGTAATCCCAGCTGAACCAGGGACTTTGTGTGTCCTTGAGCAAATCCCACTCTGTCCTTGCACTTCAGTCGGGGTAGCCTGAAAACCCGCCACACAGCAAGGCTCTGCTGCAGAACAAGTTCTGCTGTGAGCTGGGGTGATTTTTCCAGTTGTTTTTGAAACATCATCATCACAAACACAAATAACAGTCAGAAACCCAGAACATCAAGGTGTCAAAAAACAGTGTATCCAGTATGAGAAGGTTTTATTTTGTGGAGCCACAGAACAGAGGGAGGCGGCTGGAAATCATCAAGTATTTTGCAGCGATGTGTCATTTTTGATGAGGAAGAAAATGTAGGTTTTTAAGGATGAGCGTCCTTCAGACTCCTGTAGTTTGAATGGCCAACCAGTGTTTAGGTCTGTTAGATCTTGCTCTTAAAGCTCAGAAGCTAAAGCAAGGAGACCTCTGTCCAGCCTGTTTATCAGTGTACAAAGAATTCTTGGAAGGTTTGTGGAGAAACACCCATCAGTAGAATTGATAATTCTTAATTATCAGTTACATTTGGTTGCCCCCTGAAAGGTGCTGTTCTTGCTTCTGCACGTGTGCAGCTCTAACACCGCCAATGTGCCTGAGACAGTTAATGTTCCTCCAACCCAGTTTATGCCAAAATGTTTTTAAGAGGATTAAGTGGCCAAATGTCATGTTCTGCTACTGTGCTGCAAGGTTATCTCTGCCTGACAGGGGGCAGCAATGAATTAATAAGTGCTGCTATTTTTTCTTACCCTAAGTGCAGCTGAAACTATTTGAAAGGTTAAAGTCAGAATTAAAATGTGTTTAACAAGAAAGATCAGAAAAAGAAACAGGGAGAAAGCAGCTGTTCCTCACCAGCTCCCAGAGTGAGCCCACTCGAGTTATTTACTTCATTTTTTTTGCCCTTGGCAACCTGTAAAAGCTGAAGAGATGTAATTAACCCAGTGCAAAGGCAGCGTGTGCTGGTTGCAGTGCCGTGAAGGGGAATGAGCTGTGCACGTGTAAGGCACCTGTATCCTGGCATCTGCCAGAGCGTTGTGCCTGAATGTCTTTTTGCCAAAATAATAAATAAATGTAGCTGTACCAGGACAGTGACTGTGTCTGTCTGAATATATATCCGCACTAACGGTATTGCTTTGCTCTTGTTTAGCACTTTTGCCTTGTATGCTGATACCACCACAAAGACCCCCTAGTTGCAGTGCAGCATTGATACCTCCACCATTAGAGCAGGGACTGGATTAACGCGGTTGCAGGGTTTTAAGGCGTTCCCACAGAAAAGCCATTGTCCAGAAAAGGATCGTAGTTGTAAGCATCTCCCACTGCTGATCTGCGCACTGAATGCTGGGTTTCAGGTTTTTTGCCTTTTGCTTCAAAATTAAAATTAACCTACACCAAGACAAAGGCCAGCCTGCATGAGGGGACACTGTGACTGGTGACCTTTTCTCTGGCTGTTTGCTCCCCATCAGCATTTCTGGGTGACAAAGAGAAGAATTTCTCTCCTACCATTAAGTTCCCCCGTGTACCCCGCCCTGTACAATAACATGTGTTTCCCTGGCACCTTACATATGAGGCTTCTAAATAACTTTCCAAACCGTATGAATTTATATTCCCTGGAGTCCCTTTTCATATAATTTCCCCACTTTGACAGATGGGAAAACAGAGTTGGGACTAGAGCGGGAGCTGGGTTTAAATTTTTGCTTGGTTGCTTGCTCACCATACCAGTCTTTCTCCCAACTACTTGTGTTACAGGAAGCATAAGTTACAGCTGGATTATACATGAACATGTTCCTTGGTTTCATCGTACTTAAAATAGATGTAATCACTCTTGAAATGCTACTCAGTTGGTTCTGGTCTTAATCATCATGGGATTTCCTCTTTTAGGATAAATACTAGGAGTTATGGAATCTTTATAAAGTTCTAATTATTATAGAGCCGTATGCTTCACTCCAGAATTATGTCCGTAAGGTTGCAGTGCCTTATCACATTTTTAATCACTTTTTTTTCCTTGCAGCAGACATGGAAGGCAGTTCCTTAAGAAGTCGGGATAAGAGGCTTAGCTTGAATTTGGTAAGTACTCAGCTTGCATAAATTTAAAACACTGGCACATGACAAACTTCAGAAAGTAAATCATTTCACATCCTGATATTGAATCATTCCTCTCCTGTGTTCAGCAGAAGAATTAAAAAATAGAAGAAGCAGTTGGCTTTGGGCAACTTCTGTGCCGCTTCTTCGCAGCTGCAGGAAGCCTTTGAGAGAGGAGGGAGGAGGAGGTCACAACACTGACCAGTTTTTAAAGCAGATGAAGCCAGGTCTGTTGTGAAAAGGGATACCAGTAGCCTCAAGAATTAAACTGTTGGCCAAGAGCACCTGAGAAAACCGCTTATCTCTTGAAAAAAGGGTCTAGAGAAGCCTATCGATTCATGATCCTGAGGGATATCTCCTCTTTAGGACATAGGAAAGTCTTTGCTCTCAAAGCGCCTGTGATTCAGGGCTCTGTCACTCCAAAGCTTCCTGGCTCTGCAGTTGACAGACAGGGTTAGATGTAGCACCATCACACATCACATAGCTGGTCTTTTGCCTGGTGCTGGATACTGCCTTCTGTGTGGGAGACCCTTTGCTGCTTGCATGTAAGTTCTGGTGGTGGGCAACTTACATTTTTCTCCCCTTTGAAAGCTTGCAAGGTTTGTAATCAGTCCCTCTTACCACTTAGCCAGCACTAACCTACATGAAATGAATTTCCAATGTTTATTCTCAGCTATCAGGAGCAACTTGTAGGTCTGTGTGTCTGTTCTCTCAGCTTCCACATTTGGAAAAATCTAGTTCATTAGATGTTCTCCTTTCAGATGTTGTTTTGTAGGAAGGAGCCTCTTTCGTTTTATAGGTCAGAATTACTGCTGGGAGAGGCAAGTGCAGCCTCACTGAAGTTGGAGGATTTAACCCACTTAAGTCACCCATAAGTTTGGTCCTAGTTTCCAGCAGTGACTTGCGAAGCTCAGAAGTGGACTTCCCCAAAGCTGGAACGTGCATCTGAACCCATGCCTTTGTCTCGTGTCTTTCCAACTTGCGCATCTCAGGTCATGTCAGGACTCTCTGGGCCTGGGACTCGGCTCAGATCTGTTGCCAGCTCACAGCACCTCCCAGCTTGCAGGGGGTTAACTGTTCATTTATCGACCTGTTTCTCTTTCTTTTCTTCCTTTGCTTTTGAAGCCCTGCCGGTTCTCCCCGCTCTACTCAACTGCTTCGGACAGCACAGAGGACAGCTACGTACCCATGCGCCCCAGCACCTCTCCCTCTGCGCCCGGCTCCGACTGTTCACCCGATGGCTACATCCCCATGAGCCCCGGCTCAGCCACATTTACCTTCCCTGTCGTCAGCACTGAAAAACTCACCAGCCCATTACCTGAACTTCCCTCAGACCTGGAGCCCCCTCCGGTGAACCGAGACCTCAAGCCTCGTAGGAAATGTAAGCCCAGACCTGAAGTGCAGTGGGCAGTCAGGGGGTCCTGATGGGGGGGGACACGGGTGACCTGCTTTGATAGTGTCCTTGGCACATTTTAAAGCACTTTCTGCTCTAGAAGAGGGATTGAATTGTTGTGTAAATGGCTTATAGTACTGTAACATAGGATGCATTTGCAGGGTCATTTGTGAGCAGAGAAAGAGCTTCCGTCCGTACTTTTGCAGTCGAAGACCAGGTGGCTGCATTAGCATGGTGCGTGGCTTCAGATCCACTCTGACTGCAAATGACCAAATGGACGTAGCCTTGGAGAGACAGCACACTAAGTCCTGCAGCTCTGAAGTACGTGTACTGCTGTCTCACCAGCTCCCTGACCTTCCAGGAACAGGACATTCAAACACTCAAACTTGATGTGTGGGCTGTTGGTTAAACCTTTGTTGGGTAGATGCAGCTGTCTTGGTTTAATTAGGAATTTCCTGCAGATGCTTTTACTGATGGTAATTTTCCACTCCTCCTTTCCATGGCATCTCCAAAATCTGGGTTGCACTTCCAGAGGATATACTGGGGACAAAATTCAGCTTTGCAGTGGAAAAATTGCCTAAACCGAGCCTACATTAAAGCTCTTTGGGCTGCAGAGCACAGGGCTACTCAGAAATTGGTTCAGGAAATGCTACTGTGACGTGCGGACAGGAATTTAGACCATTGCCAGGAAGCAAAGCAAGCTCAGGCCCTTTCTTTGAGGGTTTTGAGAACAGAGTGGAAAATGTACATTGACTGGTGAGTGGAATGATCTTGATCTCCACTTGTAGGACCTTTTTGTTTAGAAGACAGCCCAAAACCTGTTTAGACCTGTAGGCTGAACTGGCCTCTCCTCTTGAAGGCAGCATACGCAGAGCAGATTTGAGGCAAGCACGTGGACCTGGTGGGGCATTTGCTCTCCTTATGCCCATTGTATTTATTCTGTTATTCTAGGGTAAATGAGGGACTTAACTTTCCAGTGCTGACTGAAGTGATCATTTGTTACTGATTTATGTCTTGGTTATATCAGTTATGTTCTGTGAAATACTCTGTTAGTTTCTTGCTGTTAATACAAAACCGCATTTTTCTAAACAGTCTGTACTTTTCATTAGCTCTGCTATTGGAAATGTAGTTCCTTTTGTATCTACTTGCAGCACGGCCACCTCCTCTGGACTTGAGGAACCTCTCCACAATCCGGGAGCATGCTGCTGTGACCAGGATGTGGACTGTGCCTTAGTAAGTCAACAAGAAACCTGCCGTTCCAATCTTTTAAACATTAACATTGTGGAATGGAGTTAAAAATATCTTATCACATCCCACAAGAAACAGTTTCCTGGCAAAGTCCACAAACAAAAATTCCCCAGGGCTCCTTCCAGCATCCCCCAGGCCTTTGCTGTCTCTAAAAAGCAAGGCTCCCTTTCACGATGGGCAGCTCCAGTGCGTTCAGCATCATGCAGTGATGCTTGGTCTGTTCTGAAGGTTCCTTTTGAAAAGCCTGATGCTGCTCTGCACTCTGGTGCAGCTGCTGCGAAGGCTAAAAGCTTCGCATGCCTTAATTATTTTTTTTAAAGTGATAGAGCTATTTTTGTTCCTGAAAATTAGTATAGCAAAGGAGAACCAGATAAGATAAAGATCTGCCTGAGTTGTAGCCTGGGTGTAGACTTCTGGGCTGCCACACAGCAATTCAGACTTGATCTGCTGGTGTGACCTTTTGTCCCTGGAAATTAGTTGTGGGGTAAAACAAATGCTTTCGGTCCCAAAGCCCAGGTAGTAGTTCCACTCCCCTGCCTCAGGTAATTTGGAGGGCAAAAGGGACATGAAATGGGCAGTTTCTCAATGGCAGACCCCTCCCTCAGCTGTACACTCCAAAGCTGGTTAAGCCCTTCAGTGCTGCCTGTTAGGGAAACCCAGTAGCCTGCCTCCCAAGCATCCCTGCCAGAGTGCTGTGGTTAATTAGTGCTGACACAGTGCAGAGTCCTGAAGGATAACGAGCTCAGAGGGAGTTTGCATGTTTTACATTAACAAAACTAAAAAAGAAGTATGACCAGAACTAATAAAGCAAAAGGAGTTATACTGTTCATGCCACACAAAGTGGCCATCTAATTTCCTAATAACTAACCCCATTGTGCTAGCCTGCAATAATTTACTCACGATTTACCTCTGACAGTTATGTTAGTGGAAGAGATTTCCTTGTACGAGGGCTGAGCCGCAGCCATCTCCGCAGCACAGATAGCATGTGTTTACCCTGCGTTCAAAGCCAGACAAGTTCCTCTGCATGCACATCCAGTAGCCAATTAATTCACATCAATCTCCAAAATGAGGATACCCGCACAACTAAGTAACTGCCCCATCAGCACGTATTACCCGGATGAATGATATCTGTCTCTGTGCCCCTTGTTGGAGAATTGCTCCAATGTTTTATGCTTTCTGTCATACCAGAGATGGTAAACTTTCATAAATTTCAGGGGGAAAAAAAATCAACAAAACCACTCATAGCAATATAGCACACTTTTTCTAGAACTAAGGAGTGGTTTTTGACATCCTCTCCATAAAGGCTGCAGCGTTAGTGTGAGTTTATTCACCATATGGACTGTGTCAGGCTTTGGCTTCATTTCAGAGCATCTGTAAGATGCTTCCTTAACCTCTCCTGTGTTTTTCTTCATAGCAATCGAATGAGCTTTATCTCACCAGAAAGAGACGGTATTAATTCAGCAAGAATATTTGCCAATTCAGTTTCCGGAGAAGAGGAAGAAAGTTACATTCATATGGTAATCTTCATTTTCACACAGCCATCCTTTGCTTTATTCTGCTCTGTCACATTGATGGAGAATGCAGAAGTTTGTTTTCTAAGAAAAAATGTTGAGGAGGTTTGTCCTTTGCCTTCTGTTTTTTAAAAAAATGATGAAACGGTTTTAAACCAAAGACACTGGGACCAATTTACAGAGAGATAAGGGAAGCCCTTCTTCTGCTCTGCAGAACTCAGCTGTTCGCCCACGAATGTTGCTGAGCAGTTCCAAGAGATCACAGGGATCAGCCATATTTACATGAGAACTCATTAACGCAAAGGAAAATTAAATCTTTTCACCTTTTAAAAGTGTGCCCTGCAAAATCTCCTAGGAAATGACAGAAAGCCGTTAGTGCACTTCCTAAAGAAACACACCAAATATTGTGCAGAAACAGAACTCCCATTAAAGTCTCTTATTGCTTCTGCTTTGGCTGGTGGCACTAACCCCACTTCCCATCCCATGAAAGAAGAACATCTGGCTTTGTGGCTTCCTTTTCTTCATTCACTCTTTAGCCATATCTTGCAAAAGACCAGAATCTCAGTTTCCTCTGAATTTTAGGTGGAAATGGATCGCAAATCCCTTGATCTGCACCAATGTCTACAGATTTGGCTCGATAGCCAAAGCCCAACAGCAATGGCTATAGAAATATATTGCAAAACTGACCACAATCTCCATGAGCCATAGTCTTGAATTTTAACCCACACCTCTACTAGATCAAAATCTGCTCAGGAGGGCGGTTCCATTTGTAACTACTCCCCAGCTGATTTTTCTAGTCAAATAAAACCTTCCCTACATTTGTGGTCATCTGTGATTTTCCTGAGATTAATTTTCAGTTGCTAGATTTGAACAATTATTGCCATTTCTTAAAATTCATAGAACGATGATGGTTAAGAGGGCACCCCTGCAGATCCGAGCCTTCCAAGGGCCTGGGATGAGAAGCTGGACACAAGTCCTTCCTGATAACATTGAATGAAAATCAGCCTGGTTTGCTTCTTTTGCCATAATTACCAGGAGAAAAAGGTTCTCACAGTTTCTTTATGTCATCCCGCAATTAATCAGTGTTATACTATGGTTAGTCACCAAACACCCTTGGCAGAGAAAATTACGTGGGTGCTGACCCTCCTCACTCGCATTCTGCCAGATGTCTCCCACCTCACAGTTGTAGTCCTGCTTCCTTTTAGGATCATGTTTTAAGAGCATTAAAAGTTTCTCTTCTTTCCCGACAGGAACACAGACAGGCAACATCTCCATACAGTGGTGCTTTTCCATGGACAAGGAAATCTAACCTTGATTACTTAGCATTGGATTTTAATTCTGCTTCCCCATCCCCTGTACAGAAGGTATGAGTCATTTGAAAAACCCCACAGCCTCCTCTCTTTTTGTCTGCTGGGAGGAAACCAAGACCGAGAGTTACCACTCTGCTAGCTGCCCCAAGTATCGTGATGAAGCCAGTCGTGTTTCCAGCAGACTGCGCTTGTGGCAGGCTCAAGATTAATATAATAAAAGCGCTGTTAGGGTGCTGACAAGGTGTCCTTAGCGTGACCTATAGGGATGCCATTAACACGAGCTCGGCAGAGGGCACAAGACTGCGCTGGGATGTGCAGCCATGAGGACTTGTGGGCAAGCTTGTTGGTGCTTGCAGGATCTCTGCATGCTCTTTCACTTTCCTCAAGTCTCCACAAACCCTTTCCTGCTAGTTTTTCCCCAAATCTCTTTCCAGTAACAAGTTTACAGCCCATGATAAATTCACGGGGTAAAGCTGTACCATCTCTTGTAACGTGGCAAAATGTGCATCTTTATTCTTGCATCACCAAAAGCATTTCCATTTCCTTAGCGATGCTGAGAAAATACAGTCCTTGTTCCAAAGAGCTTATAACCTGCCCAGGTGGTGGGTAGGTACCACTGCAAAGCAATGAATTGTTGTCGATTTGGGCCGGTTTATGTCTTGTGTATTATCTTTCCCCATCAGCTAATACTTCTGGATGCAAAAGACTCAAATTTCCTAAGATTTCTTATTTAAAACCTCCCTGTAGTTAAAATGCAGTTAGGTTATCCCTGCAGCAGGATCACTCGGATGAGAAGAGAATGATTATCTGCATGGAAATAGCCAGAACAGCACGTTTCCCTCGCTCGCTGTGCTGGGCTGAGTGACAGGGTGACAGATGGATAATTATAGCTAAAGCAGGCTGTAAAGCAATGCTTTTGTCAGCGGATGTCACTGTGAGCTTCAAGGTGAAGCGAAGCAATCAAGGAACAAGGGAAAGGGAAAACAGAAAATCAAGCCGAGATTCACTAGCATCCCTTTTCAACCCTAAAATTAATGCGTTGGTTTTTTCCTCTCTCTCCCACAGAAACCTTTTCTCTCTGAGGAGCAGAGAGTGGACTATGTCCAGGTAGATGAACAGAAGACTCAGGCTTTACAGAACA